ATAATAAGCTGAAAATCAGGTATTCCTATGGGAGAATTTGCATCACGTCAACCTGACCACCCATACCCCACTAGAGCCGAACTATCCTTCACCAAAAAGATCCGCTATATTTAGGGCCAAAAGTATTTAACAAATGAATATTTGGATAAAAAAATGCACCAAATCTTTTCAGATTCAAATTTTATACTTTTTAACACGAGAAATGAATATTGTTATCATTATTATTATACCTACCACATACACAGAAGCATCAATTCTGCATCAGACATCCCAGTACTGGTTAAATTAATCTGAGTTTACTGAAAGTTATTTTGATATAATCCGCCATTAAGTTGTTTGTGAAGTAAAAAATTTAATATTCGTAACGAAGGTATATTTTAGGGAAACCAATAGTTTTTACCAATGAAAGAAATTAAAATCTCTACCGGTTTAACCAGAAATAAATCCAAATCGAAAATTCCCAATAGAACAATGTATATTTTTCAGCCCATTTGTAGGTCAATACATTTTTTTCAATTATATAACACAAGTTACCATTTCCATTTGAAATGGGGGCACTATGACGTGACGTCATAGTGCCGCCATATTGGCTGTCACTTTTGATATTGTACCTTGTGTTGGGGTTTCTTTTGTTGAGTCTTCATTTTGCAAAAATATGCACACAGAGGTAGTATTGCAATTATGATGTCACCACTCTTGCAGAAACTCTTTCAAAGAACTGACAATTATGTCTGATGCTGCAGCACGTTAACCGGATTACCCATATCCCACTAGAGCCGGAATTTGTTGCTATCTGGACTACACCGAACTGTCCTTTACCAAAAAGGTCCGCTATATATTTAGGGCCAAAAGTATTCAACAAATGAACATTTCGATAAAAAGAGCACCAAATCTTTCCATATTCGATTTGAAAAATTTTTATACTTTTTAACAAGAGAAATGAATGTTGTTATCATTATCATTATACCTACCACATTCACAGAAGCATCAATTCTGCATCAGACATCCCAATACTTGGTAAATTAATCTGAGTTTACTGAATTTCATTTTGACATATTCGCCAAAAATATTTTCACATGTCTATCTTTTCAGGAAAAAAGGTTAAAAAGATGATACGAGGTTCTAAACCCAAAAAGTTTCTCGCTGACCATCCATTTATTGTACTTCTTGATGAATATTCTCATACCATGGTTATGTTTAAGGGTCGCTTTTTGAATCCTAATAACTAAATGACACAGGTAGACCATGATCTAGCGAATCATATCACGCTTTGAGTTACATTGAAACAACTAACCTCACACATTTTTGTAACACTTGATTTTTCTTTTGGTTTCAACTCTAATTTCATTTTACGTAAATTGAGCATTTTTCTTATAAAGTTTCATAAAATCTATCAAACTTATTCATTCTGCATGGGGAGAAATTAGGAAATGTGATAAATTTCATCTGGTGCGCTTTGTTTTCATTGATGAAGCTTCAAATCTGAAATCTTCCACGAACAAAAAAAAATTATTCGACGAATTGTGGCATTTTTTAATATTTACTCTGGATTGTAATATACTTTTTTACTTGGTTATGTTTCCAAAAAACTAGACCTCCTTTCCTAATTTTCATTTGAATTGACTCTCAAGTTGCTGTGTAATAGTATATAAATCAGTAAAATGTTTCGTCATCTAGGTTAGTAATCATTAAAATTATATTGAATGTGAAAATAATGAACAAAATTCGGGAAGATTAATTTTCTCCATTGCTACTAAATTTGTAGACATGCTCAGACACGGTTATTTAATATAAACAAGCATTACATAGAAGTTGATGAGCGCAGAAGTCTCGATACAGATGATGTTTGATGTGTGTACTACTCTGTTAAAAAAATAAGGTGAATTTTCATTATCTCAAAAAATGTTTATCAATTCATCAATTTTTATTTTGTCCCCTTCAAAGTAATTTTCCTCAGATATAATACACTTAGTGCCAGCGTTTTTTTCTGATAAGCACTTTTTGGTATGTCTTTAACTCTCTCAGCAATTTGGTTTTCATCTTCTCAATCGTCGCAAAATTCCATTATTCAACGGGTATCTTCAATCTTGAGAACAGCAAAAAGTCGCAGGGGGGCAAATCTGGTGAATACAGTGGCTGATACATGATTACGGTGTTGTTTTTGGCAAAAAATTGTGAAAAAGCAATGCCGAGTGCCTTATCGTGATGTCATAAATTGCTTTTCCACCATACCGTACGTTTTCTTCATATTGCTTCTCGTAAGCGACGCATAACTTCAAGGATAATAGTCCTTATTGACTGTGCGACCATGTGGCAAGAACTTCTGATGCACTAAGCCACGATAATAAAAAAACTGAGCAAAATCTTGACATTTGATCGAACTTAGCGCGCTTTTTTGGTCTTGGCTCTCCTGGGCTCTTCCATTGGGACGACTGGATTTGGTTTCGATGTCATAACCATATAACCATGTTATGACCCTTTGTAGGCAAATCTGGATCGCCATTGACGTCATTCAACAATTCCTGAGCGATGCCCATGCGACGTTTTTTTTTTGATCAAAATTGAGGAATTTTGGAACGAACTTTGATGCCACACGTTATGCTCAAAAGTTCCGAAAAAATTGTATGGCATGAGCCAACAGATATGCCGACATCCTCAAAAACTTCTCTGATATTGATTCGATGATTCTCCATAACAATTTTCTCTACTTTCTCAACATTTTCATTAGTTCTTGATGTGTTTGGGCTCCCAGGACGAGCGTCGTCATTCACATCTTCTCGACCTTCTGTGAAAAGCTTGTACCACGTGTAAACATTTTTCTGGCGCAGAGTATAATCACCCTATGCCACTGTCAACACCTGAAGTGTTTTTGAGCACTTACAAGTATTAACATTTTCATAAAATTTGATGCAAATTCTTTGATCCATTTCTTTTCGATAGCAGACAATCACAGAACACGCAAAACATTTCTCAACTATTAGGTATTTCACCTAATAGTTGAGAAAACATGCTGTTAGGTAAGGTTAGGTTAGGTTAGGTAAGGTCTAAAGTCAGTGGGTCTATTCGACCCTCCACCGCAACCCGCAAGGGTTTATTGTGGCTCACACCTATTCACACTCGGCCAAATAAACCCAGCTTCTCAACGAAGCCGATTAGTATGTTTGGTGAGTGGTCTTTCAGGTCAGATGGTAAGAGTTTGACTCTGCCGAACTCTAAGAATCTGATTCGGTCCCCAGCGGAGCAGGCACAAAGTATATGATCTGCTGTTTCATCATTTTCCAAACAGAGGCGACACACACTGTTTTCCGACAGTCCAAGTCTGCATATTATGATTTAGATGACAGTGACCTGAAAGAAGGCATGTTAGACCAACAACTGTTTGGTATCAAGCTTCGAAGGGTTAATAAACGCCTTGGACTGAGCCATCCAGGTGTTCAATGTTTGTTTGGCAACGCCTAAAGCGATGCCAATGACAGGTTCTGGTCCAATGAAGCTGCTTTCAACACCCTCCTTTGCAAGGTAATCAGCAGTTTCATTGCCTTCCAGGCCAGTAATCCAGACCAGAGACAATCTGTTAAGTCTTCCTATCGAGGAGAGTCGTTTTTGGCAATTTGCTACCAATTTAGACGTTGCTCGGTAGGAGCCAAGAGCTACCAACGCCGCTTGACTGTCCGAGATTATTTCTATTGACTTGTGTGTGAGGTTGGATTTATCCAATCTCTTAGCACACAATTCAGTATCGTAAATACAGTCGCATAAGTTCCTAGGCAGGTAGATATCTCTGTCCTGGGTCTGCGTCTAAAAATGCCTGCACCAGAACCGGAAGGTGTTTTTGATCCATCTGTGTACCAACAACTATCCAAACATGCTGTAACTGTGAAGATATGTTTCAGACGTGTGTATCAACATAAAAAAAGCTAATCGAATGTATGTAGCCCGCAAAACTTGAATATTTACCTTATTTTTTGAACAGACACGTGTATATTACAACCAAACGTAGAGCAACTGAGAGTGTTCCTAATTTTGTTCTTGAATTTTCTTCAAAATTATCGTGAATACTACGACCAAACGTAGACCATATACCAGTTTCAATTCGATTACTCGAAAAATATTATTCAAACTATAATTGTCTTAAGTCAATTAATTGCGACACTGTTAGATATTTTCAATACTTTGAACAAACTATGGAATTTTCCCAATTTTCAATGAACATTTCCTGAACTATAGAAATTACGAAAAAATGTAAGTACTAACATTTTTTGTTCCTATTTTTCATTGTTGGATAATCTCAATACGACAACAAAATATAACATTTTTCTGATTTTGAACCAGCATTTCGTTAGCTAAAGGATTATGTTGGACTTGTAAGGATCAATAAAAAAGATTATATACGTTTTTTATATATTTTCGGTAATTTGTTTCCCGTTGCCGATATTTATCAAAGTCGAATACATTTTCTAAGTCAAGGAAGTATTTGAGATGAATATAATTGGTTCTATGAAAATTGTGGATATGTCTTATTCTCCATTCGCAAAATTAGATATTTCCATTTTACCAAATTTTGACGAATATTTCCTGAATTAGGAATTAAGGAAAAATTTCAATAAAGTACTTTGTTGGCCTCCTCGATAGAAATAAAAAAGGTTCTATGATTCTTATCGATATTTTTGTTTAGCTTCAATTTGTATCTCGTTGACAAAATAAGTCAAAAGTCAATTCACTAAAATCTACACTTGGTCGAATGATTCTGAAACTATCACAAATAGGGAAAACTGTTCAAATAACTTTGATTGAACTCTATATGCAGAAATCTTTAGTATTGAGTTTCTTCATGAGCAATCATCGAATATTCATTGTTTTCCAATATGCATTTGTATGTTACCAAATCAAATACATATGGTTGTTTATGTTACTGCTTACTAATGAAAATTGCTTGTTTGTGATTCATTAATGGGAAGTAATTCAAACCTTTTGCGAGTGTTGGGGTATAACAGAAATTAATCTTTTATTATTTAATCAATTTCAGGAATGAGGATAATGTACTTTAGTGTGCCAGAACGCCCTCAGCTATTTCTAGCGGATCATCCCTTTTTTATCGTCATCAAAGGAATAAAACATGATTCCGAACATTTTGCTCACGTCATCTTGTTCAGTGGATGCATTAGAAGTCCTACATCAGGTGAAACCTTCCAAAGAAAATGTTGCATTTTAATTTGAGATTATTCTTGAAATTTCACATTTTATTTTGTTTAGATTATAATAAAAATACCCAAAAGTTTCCATTTTCATTTTGCCACCAACTTTTTGGGTGCAAATTTTGGTAATAATTAGATTGCCAAACAAGGACCAAACCGTTGTCCGGCCAGGTCACCGGACCTATCATCTATGGACTTTTACGACTGGGAAAGGTTCTAGATACGAATTAGAAGTGGCAGTGATTCAAATTTTTGCTTCTCTCACCCCTATTGAAATAATTAGGCTGCTGACTCCCTTGAAAAGGAGGGTGCTGCAAGCAGCTTCATCGGACCAGAACTTGTCATTGGCATCGCTGTAAGCTTTGCCAAATAAAGACTGAACAACTGGATGACAATAAGATTTATGGACTTCTGGCAGAATCTTCCTGGATTGGCTCACTCCAAGGCGTTTATTCACCCTTCGAAGCTTGATACCAAATAGTGTTGGACTACAGTAGGGTTGAACTACGATGTGTAACAGGCCTTCTTGCAGGTCACTGTCATTTGAATAATCATATGCAGAGACTCGGACTGTCGTAAGACAGTGTTTGTCGCCTCTGATTGAAAAATGATGAAACAGCAGAGCACATACTTTGGGCNATATAGCCGCTAATATAGCTATAAACTCAACTTTATTTTGTTCAAACTTGCATTTGATGTAATAACCCAAATTGAGAAACATTCCCCATTTTTGACAAATTGAAAATCGAATTATAATTCCTGTTTTTCCGAATATGTTCTTTTTTTCAGCAATAACTTGACAACGCTGCAAACTTAAAAGAAAAGGTTATGTCTCCTTATGCAAAACATTTCGCCCAGTTCAGCGGTGAAAAAATTTTGAACAGGGTGAATTTAAAAAAATTATGATTTGTATTGTTCCGCTTCCAAGGAACAATACAAATGTATTGTTCTGTGTATTCCAAAATATTTTTGAAATAAGCAACAAAGTAAACCATATAACTTTTATCTGAAACATTTCATCATATTCCTCATTATAAGCGAGATACTACACTTCGTCACACTAATAAACCACCCTGTATAAACTGTTTCTTTTAAGATTCCTTCTAAAGTCGGTTTCTGGTGTTTGGTTCGAAAGTAAAGTCAAATGTTGGAAGAAGATATTTCAACAGCCGATATTACGTCTCTTTCACGTAGTTCTGAAAGACACCTTCACTAGAATATAAAAGTTTTTTGAATTAAAAGTAACGGGAATATCCTTTCAGCTATGATGGTCACATATCAATGCTTGATGGTGGAGCCTGATCCAGAGCAATTTCATGCTGACCATCCCTTCTTGGTTGTCATAAGCACAGCAACAGATCCTTCACAATCTACAAGGCAGGGATCGATTCTCTTCAAGGGGCGCATCGTTCAACCTTAATTGGGATATGGTCTAATATATTCAAACGATTAATGCCAAAGATATTTGATAATGCCGAATAAGATACCAACCAAATGGATTGGTGAAATGTTTGGTAGAAATCTCGTGAAGTGCCTCAACATCTTCATTGCAAATCATTGTAATATATTTATTAACATAAATCTTTCAGGCTGATACTTAAATTTTTTATGTTTTTTTCTGGTTGTTGTTAGCATGTCCTTTCATTTTAATTTCAGTTTTTTGCTTAATAAAATAGTTTTTTCAGCTAATATTTTTATTTTTTTTACATATTCTTTCAGGGATTTCAAATCAATTTATATTATATTAGACGATGGAAGTCCGAACTGATGTAATGCACCACGAAACATTGTCAACCACCTTCAAACAAACGTTTTATTCGGTGCTCTGATGAGCAGTCGCGAATGATTGGAAGCGTTGTCAAGAACTACTACACAATACCCATCCAAATTTGGGATTAATGTGTTTTCAAACCATTCAAACCAGTCAACATTGCAGTCCTCAAGTTTTTTTCCACATAATTTCAAAGAACTCGGAACCCACAAAATTAGTCGCGATCCTTTTTTTTACAGGCATGTTAGGCGAACACATTCTCGAACCATCAATCCACCCTATGTCATGAGTTCCGTCCAAATAGTATTTCCACTATTCTTCTGCTTTCCATAACTGCTTGACGTTTGTTTATTATTTCAAATCTAAATCCTAATTTCTTTATCCAATCCTGAAGAGTTTTGTCACATTAGCTCACATTATGGCCGAAAGTATTCAATTTCTTCAGTTGTAGGAATCTCATTGCTTTTGTAACAGTTCTATATTGTTTTTTTCAATGATTTTATTAGATACACTTCTAATGGTTTTGGTAATCTCGTATCACATCACGTCTTGCGTTCATTTTTGACTATTTTACGTACAGTTGATGAAAGGAATTTCGGTCAAATCTGATGTTGCTTGTAATAGTTTGCTTTCTCCGAAACCAAACTTGTGATGTAGATTCTTATATACGTTGAAAATATTCTCTGTATTTCAATATTCAAATGCATCCAAATCTTATTTACTGGTATCTTTTTTCGCATTGTTCCCATCGCTGTTGGAATCACTACACAGTAAAAAGTCTACGTTGTTATCACACTCGGTATTACTATTAGNAGATTTTTTTATGTACTCTATGTATATTTTTTATATTTTCAGTATGACGTACCTAAGCAAATTTTGTTATTGCAGATATTTTCTAATGTAACAGAAATTGTAATTTGAGGTCAATAAAATTTCTTTCTTTCTAACCAATATCATATTTCAACACTCAAATCGCGATCAGTTCCTGAACTGAACACGACCGCGATAATATTCCCCGATTTCTATTCGTCATCGTAACATGACTTCAAATTTAATTTTATGATTCTTCAGCCAATCATAAGACTCGATTAGTAAAAAATATCCAATACGAACCGCCAAGTCTACAGTCCACGTGGACTAGTTTGACTTTCTATGTATTGCTTTTTTTGGCCTTTGAGAGTGCCGCCAACTTTAAGTGTGCACAATACCGTTTACTTCGAATATACTTACAAGTGAAAATAGGTGTGGATTTTGGAATCGCCGGCATGCATGAAGTTCCTTACACTATCTCTAAAATGTGTGAAATATTATATTGATTACATATTGATTCTATAACCGTTTGTTATAGAAGTGAAATCAATATAATCGTCAGTATCAGTACTTGTTGATTCACTTGTTGTACTTTCCACAACGGAATATATTTTAACAGTAGTTTTATGTATTAGGTTGTTTCAAACGTTTTATCCGTATTTATGAGTCTACTTCAAACTGTAATTTATCAGTGAATACTTATTCATTTTAATCAAAGTAAGATCCATTTGAATCAGTACATTTTTGCCAACATAACACAAGTTGATTAATTCCGTCAGGATGAAAATTGAGTGCTTGGGACTCGAAGACGTTGACTAAGGCTGTTTTTGCCTGGTCCTGATTGGCGAAGGTTCTACCGGTGAGAAAGTTTGGAAGTGCTTAAAAAGATGGTAGTCGGTTGGCGAGAGGTCTGGGTAGTATGGTGGATGAGGCAGATCTTTGACGCTCAATTCGTTTAATTTTTGGACATACATACTCGTATTTGGTATATATACTTGATGTACCTAAAATGGTGAATGAAATATCATTTTAGACGTGTTAATGAACTCCTAGAATCCACAAATATGTCTTTACAGAAAATGGGATAGATTCTAAACAATCTATAGCCTGGATAGTATTTCGAAGCAACTGCTTTCAAAAAAAGACTCAGATTGAAAGGTCATTCTAATTATACTGGTATATAAACATTTTTTTGCAAGATTCGCTTTATATAATGTCGCTTTCTGGTGTCTGGTTTGCAAGCAAATACCTAAACCTGGAACATGTTAAAGTTAAATGTTGGAAGAAGATATTTCAACAGGCATGATTCTGTCTTTTTCGCGTTATTCTGAAAGGCAGTTTCACTAAAATATTGAACTTTTTTTAGTTGAAAGTAACGTGAATATTCTTTCAGCTGTGATGTTCAGTTCTATTCAATGCGTGATGGCGGAACCCAAACCAGAGCAATTTCATGCTGATCACCCCTTCTTGGTTGTCATAAGCACATCAATACATCCAGCACAATCTACAAGGTTGGATTCGATTCTTTTCAAGGGGCGCGTCGTTAAACCTTAATTGGGATATGGATTAATGTATTTGAAGATTATGGCCAATGATATTTGATAATGCCGAATAAGATACCAACCAAACGAATTCGTGAAAAATTTGGCAGAAAGTGCCTCAACATCTTCATCGCAAA